GCTCTCTGCTGCAGCCACAAGGCGGGGCGGGGGGATGGGCGGGGCCCAAGCCCTGGTGGGGGCGGATCAAACGGGGCGGCCGGGTCCGAGGGGGGCTCCAGGGAACGGGGTGCGCGACTCTCGGAGCAGCTAGAACAAAAGCTGCCGGATGCGGGTACTTCATTGGGAGTGACACGTGCTGGAGGCTGCTGGAACTTCCCGGGGGGGATTTGTAAATATCACAGAGGACAATGTCCTGACTCAAAAGTTGCGGCATCCCACGCCGGAAAATTGCATATCAGACCCTCATCCTGACCGAGAAAGAAAAATTGATCACAGAACTGAAACTCAGTGGTAGTTTGAGTAAAAGTCCTTGTGACTTGACTACATTTGTTATTTGCAAACGAACGAAGTCCAGAGCAGTAATCTAGATGTATACTTGGTGCTTTTCAGAGGCCAGTTACATGAAGCTGAAAATAATTTGTGCCAAATCAGCTGGGCAGAAGAATCGAAACAGAAAAATATGAACGAGAATTGGGCATTGTTTAATAGCACATTAGTAAATGTCCAAAATTGTGATTGTGAGGTTGTGAACAAGAAGGCACGCTGGCTTCAACAAAATTGGTTGAAGGCAGCTATATAAAATCAGTCAATCAATCCATCTCTCAAATGCAAAAAGTGAAAATTGCTAGTTATACAAACAAATCAGCAGCTAAGAACTATAGAAAAGTGAAAGGGGAAGGACAGAAACACCAGGCGAACTCTATGGCCAGCAGAGTTAAGGATGATACAGAGGAGTTATGAAGGGTTTTTTAAAGAATATTAAGAACAAAAGAAATTCTAAAAATGATTATGGTCCATTATTAGATGGAAATGGTAGAATTGTCAAAAATAATGCAGAGAAAATATTTCTGTTTTGTATTTGGGAAATAGCTGGATATTGTGGTCATAGCAGATGATGCTGATGAAATGCTTTCCATTCCTAAAGGATTTCTGGGGGATGTTAAACAGCAGCTACTAAAGTGAGATTTTTTTTTAAATCAGCAAGTCAAGATAACTTGCATCAAGAGTATTAAAAGATCTGGCTTAGGAGCTCACTGTGCTGTCAGAGTTGATTTTCAGTAACTCTTGGAACATGGGGGGGGGTGTGATGTGGGAATTATAAGCCATCAGCCTGACGTCCATCCCAGGCAAGATGATGGAATATCTGATATGGGACTCAATTAATAAAGAATTACAGTATTTTGCTCCGGCAGCTGAGCTACCATAAAGCATTATGTAAAATAAGTGGAAAACAGACGTGTCATAAATGCACTATGATGTCATAAGTGCGCTGAACTGAGTGTCGTCAGAGCACCTGTTTGTTTTCCTTCGCCCTCCCTAGCCCCCAGCCACAAGGGCACAGAGCAGAATGCACTGGGTACTGCTGATGCAGTGCAACGTCATTCGTAATCAGACTCCCCCTCCCCCAGAGTTCACATCAGGGTAGGTTGTCCGTGGTGCAGTGGGAGGTGTGGTCAGATGTTAGGCTTCAGTGTTCTTTCTGCAGACTCTACTGACTCTGGCCGGACAGCCCAGCAGGCTCCAATCAAACTGCCCAATAAATCCACAGACTTGGTCTGTAGCAAAGGGCGAAGGCACTTGGTCAGATTTCTTGTCAACAGAGAGGAGAGAGCAGCCATTGGACTATATGCAGATTGACAGCTCTGTGCCAGGTGCTTTGGGGAGATCCATGCTGATGGGTGGGTGGCAGACAGGGAGAGATTTTCTGGAACGTGTGGAATTGGCAGAGAAGATGCCCCTGTGTAACACCCCAAATAGTAAAGGAATTAGGGGCATGAAGGTGGGGGATCTTAGCAAGGTGGAAGGGCGGGAAACGAAAGTGCTGAAAGTGAAGAAATGACTGAAATATGTTGCAGTTTTGATTTTATTAGGAATTGCTCCTGGGAATGTTACATATTGGTGGGAATATTCCAGACTGATTTTTTTAGTAGAGTTGGACATTTAAAATAATAAATTAACTCCAATTGATTAAAACAAGTTAACCAGTAACATGGTGCAAAGGTAGGAGCAATGGAGCAGAGGCTGAGCATAGCCCGAGTGCTCAATGCACCTCTGTGTGTGTTGCTGGGTTCCGACACTCATGAAAGTTGGGTGCTAGGAGCTGGTCCCAGAGGGACCATTAGCTCACGCTTTGCTTTTCCTGGGGGTGGAATAGCGGGGGCAAAGCCCTGCTACTTGGGAGGGGGTGGAGTCAATGGAGATTGCACTATCCGTGTTCTCCCCTGGGTGCAGGACGTGGCTCGATGGGGCGGCTAGTCATGACTTTGGCAACAGAATAACAACAAGGAGTCTGGTGGCACCTTAAAGACTAACAGATTTATATGGGCATAAGCTTTTGTGGGTAAAAAAACCTCACTTCTTCAGACGCTTCTGCCCAAATAAATCTGTTAGTCTTTAAGGTGCCACCAGACTCCTTGTTGTTTTTGTGGATACAGACTAACACGGCTACCCCCTGATACTTGGCAACAGAATGTTCTCCCGCACAGCTGTTTGCATCTGCACGAGATGCATCATCTCACTTTCCTTGGCCAGGCGCTCCCTTTCCATCTCTTTCTGTTCACTTATGAGACTTTCACATCGCTTCAGGAAACCTCTTCTCCACACTTCTGCCCTACAAGGCCCTCTGCTGGGAGGAAACCACAATTTCAACAGCCACTTCTTTTCTCGTCTTCTTTCCGGGCCAGGCATTCAGTGGTTTATAAGGCCCCTCTATGCATGGACTGTGCATTGCAGGTGCTTGGGGAACTCAAAGATATCAGAAATCATTCTTGTGCCAACACAAATTTCCAAGACAGCCATGTTAACATATTGCTTCTGTTTCACTTTTAAATGCCAGCGTGAGAGTCTAGAACATCTCTGCAGAGAAAGAGCCAGCAAGAATTGTGATGTGAAATGATCTAAAGTCTGTTCTGACTTTAGCCCCAGCCCCCTGACAGGCTGCAGAACAACACCCACGTGTCACTGCGGATTCTCCCAGCCTGCCCCGGAAAGGGAAATGGCGGTAGCAGAGCTCGCTCGGGTAGGGATACTGAGGAAATGCTGGTGGGTTCCTGCAGACAGTGAATACACAAGAAGTGGGGGTGACTAGGGAGTTTGATCTGAGGATGGGAGGGTGCAGGCAGAGCACAGGGAGGGGAAATGGAGTGGGATGAGGTGCGATGAACCTGCTGGGACTTGTTAAATCTGGGGCCTAGATTCTAGGAATAGACCCCTGGGGTTGGTGGAACAGGGAACAAACCAGCCTGGGCTGGGGAAACTTCCCAGACTCCCAGTGCTGGAGGGTGAGCCCACTAACCAGAGGTTCTTATGACATATGAAGGGGGCTCCCACCAGTGAGGCTGAGGGAAGATGCCCCATCCCCTGACATCCAGCTGCTGGCAATGAGGAGGGTGTTGGGCTTCGGGGAGGGGGGCTTTATCTCCAGTTCAGCCTCTGGCATGTAGGTGTGTGATGAAAGGGTGGACCCTGCCCTCTCTGTCTGCTGGGAAGGACGAGGGGCTCTCTCTTATCTCCTCTCCCCCAACGCCTCCAGGATGCACTGAGCTGGTTGTGGGTTCGACTCCACTGACTGTGTCTCCATTTGATTGGCTCCTCTCCCCCATGAGTAGTGGGGCTGTGGCTGTGGCAGCAGGTTCTGAGTGGGGGGCTCTTGCTCTTTCAGGGCCCGGTGACCTTCGAGGAGGTGGCTGTGTATTTCACCAGGGCAGAGTGGGCTCTGCTGGACCCCGCTCAGAGAGCCCTCTACAGAGACGTCATGCAGGAGAACTATGAGAACGTGACCTCGCTGGGTAAGGATTCCTGTCCCCTCGGTGCTTAGGAGGGGAAATGCAGAGTGAAGGTTCATGTCTCTCCCATAATGCAACCTTGACTCTGCTCTGATTCAACAAAACCCCAATACACCAGTGACACACACACTAGAGCCCTGCCCTCCTCACTACAGAACACTCTGGGAACAGGGCACCTGAGCCGTGCAGCACAAAGTCGAACAACTTCTCTTGGCTAAGGTCAAAAGTGGGGTTAGATCCTGCATAGCAAACAGACGTTTGACACCTGGCTGGCACTCAGAGCCTGCGCCACACAAATCATCACAGACTTGCCAAATCTTACCATGCCTTTGCCCTCCCGCTGAGGATTCCTTCTGAGGCATTGCCTTCACTTACTGCTCTGCAAACCCTGGAGACCACTAGCATATACGTCGCCAGACTGCTGACAGTGCTCATACGCAGACGCAGAATACGCAGCTGCGTAGGGTACCACGAAATTTGGAGCACCAAATTTCCCCAAATTTCATGGTGCCCTAGGCAGCTGCATGCTGCATATGCGCAGCACCAGCTCTGGCGGCCAGCCCCATCCCCCGGCTGTGCCCACTGAGAGGGGCTGGACCATCCCTAGGGAGCTGTGGGACCTGGGACAACTTCCTTTGCCCTGCTCCACCCTGGCCCACCCCCATTCCACCCCTTCCCCACAAGCCTCTTCCCCCAGCGATGGACGCAGCCCGGAGGATTAGCAGAGGGCCTGTGCCGGCAGCAGGGATCAGGCCCGACCCCGCACTCACTGGAAGCGGCAGGAAGTGGAGCAACCCGGTCCCAGCCTGCTCCACTCCACCAGCTCCCAGCTGCGTTGCTCCGCTTCCCGCTGCCAGTGAGTGCGGGGGGCATCCTTTCCCCAAAGCCTTCACCTAAGCGACGCGGCTGGGGTTGGTTCACTTTGCTTCCTGCTGCTGGTGCCAGGCCCCCTGCTAATCCCCTGGGCCCCATGTGGGGCCCCCCAAAGCGGCCCCCCACAGCTCCTGCCTCTGCGGCCCTGCAGCCCTTGAGTGCAATGCCCTCCCTCCCCCCGCGGAGGGGCCAGATCCCCCCTGGGAGGGGCCAGACCCCCGCCTCGGGAGGGGGCAGCAGGTGCTCTCGCTGCGTAGGGCACCATAATTTATAGGGACAGGTCTGGCAAACTCCTAAGGGGAAATTTGCTGAACGCAAAAAAAAAAAGCATAAGACCCACATTGTCAGAAAGCTCTCGGTGGGAGGGCTCACACAGATACATGGGGCATCTCTGGTGCAGTGGCCACAGCGTGTCCTCTTGAGCTACCCAATTCACTTGAGAAGAGATTGCTGGACATGCTCCTTTTTTAAAACAGCCTTAGGGTATGGGTATCCTGCAAGGGAATCCCAGGTTTAGTGGGCCTCGAGGCTGCCAGCCCTGGGTTTCAAAGCCCACACTTGAGCATCTACACTCATTGGTGACCTTAGGCTAAGCATTTTTGAGCCACGCTGAATACCTGGGCTCCAGTGTCCACATGGCAGTTTGCAGGTCTGAGTCCAACCAACCATATCCCAGCCTGCCTGTTCCTCTCCATTTGCCGTGGAGCCTTCTCTCTTTATGCACGTGGTTGTTGGGCTTCTCCAAAATGACAACCAGACAATCATCGTGGAAACGCGTCCTCGTGGCCTGCTGGTGTGTTCACGGGCTGCTGAGGTACAACAGGCAATACGAGCAGAGCTGCCCGCAAGCAGACATAAAACAAAACATTATTGTCTCCGCGATTTAAGAAAACAATACAGCTCGGTGCATGAGCTCAGAGAAAAGGACTTGTGGAAGCTCAAAGAGAAATAGGATCTTTTGTAAAACTGAACTTCTGTCTAGTGTGAGAGCGACGCTTCCGGTCCCAGGGGCTCCATGGACACAACTGGGTAATTGCAGTGGAAAAGGGGCACCGAGCATGGTAACTTGAAAAAATCACAATTTTGCTCAAAATGACAGAACATTTTGAGCTCTGGGGGAAGGGAGCCCATGTAGGAGCCTTGACCTACTCCCTAGGCCTTCTCTGTCATTTCAAGCATTCCACATTTTGTAGGACACAACAATTCTTGTTCTTCCGGAATGGCAAAGAGAGGCTTTATGGCTTTTGGTGGCAAGCCAGCTGTGTATGTCACACAAGTATTCAAATGTGTGGTGACTGAGCAGCACATCCATAAGGAAAATGGGCCGATCCACTGCTGGGGACACCCTGGAAATTATACCCTTCCCGGAAATGTGACTCTCTATTTTCAGTTCCTGATAGGGGAAGAGTTTTCAGCACCTGGGATTAGGGCAGAATTCATGTGGGAATCAGTGTTCACATCTGCATGCCTCACAGCCTCCCCATGGCATCGAATACAGGCGTGTATGACTAAATGCAAACACATAAGCCACTAGGAACTCACAAGGAACACCCAGCCCCTTGGCCATATTTCAGACAAATTATTTTGTCACCAGCGGACTCCATTTAGCTAGAATGGGCTACGTTTGTAAAGGGGCTACTTTCCAGCTCCTACCCCATACAGTTCCCTGTTTACAGGTGGCTCGCTACACAGCTGGGCTGGGGTGGAGCAGTGTCCTGACAGAGAAGGCGATATCAGGGTCTTGTTTGTAACACCCAGGGGTGGCTCTATGTTTTTAGCTGCCCCAAGCACAGCAGCCAGGCGGCTTTCAGCGGCACGCCTGCGGGTAGTCCGCTGGTCATGCAGATTCGGCGGCATGCCTGCAGGAGGTCTGCCGGTGCCGCGCCTTCGGCATACCCGCCGCCGAATTGCCGCCAAAACCGCAGCACCGTCGGACCTCCCGTAGACATGCCGCCGAAGGCAGCCTGACTGCCGCCCTCACGGTGACCGGCAGGCCCCCCCGCGGCTTGCCACCCCAGGCACGCGCTTGGTGCGCTGGTGCCTGGAGCCGCCCCTGGTAACACTCCAGAACGTCATAGCAAGAAGATGAGTTCATAGTAAAGCTTCATTTTTAACTGCTTGTTTCACTGTTTATACTTCCCGGTCTCTAGTGTGAATTGCACGTGGGGGTGGGTTGCTAAGCTGTTCTGGTGGTGGTGGAAGTAAAGGGAGGGTGGTGCTCCAGGAAATGGGGGTGCTAGCAATGGGGGGTGGGGGACACTTTTAGTCAGGGGCTCCTGGGAGGCGGGAGCACGGAACGCTTGGAATTGTGGGGTGGAAGATGGTTGGGGATCATGACATTTGGGACACCTGGTAGCAAGCAGGGCTGCAAGACTTGGGAAAGGAGGAGCCAATAGGAGCGAGTGTTTCTGGGGCCCCAGGACAAGGAGAGGGCTGAGAGCAGTGGGAGAAAGAGGAGTGGCTGTATTAGTGAGTGACAAGGCTAGCTCAACCTCTGTCCCCTTCCTGGTCTCTTTGAGCCCCCCGCCCCGCTGGCTATCAGGCCTAGTGCCTGTCCCTGTCCTGGAGTGGGATTCCGCAATTCTCCTCTTCCTCAACCAGAGGAACTAGAGTCAGTTGCTCCTGAATTACAGCATCTCATTCCCCAGCCTTCTCCACCCCCTGGGGATTTTCATGGACCCTCCCATTACACCTGACTCACTAGATTCCCTAATGCCACAACATGGGCTTTCCTAACACCTAATACACCTGGGTACCATGCTCCCTCCTATTGCTTCATCCCCTAACCCCCGCCAGCCCATGCTCACTGTTCCCAGCTTCCCTGGGACGCTGTGTTTTTCTCTTGACCTCCCTGTCTCAGAAAGAAGCAGGTGGTTTCCCTGGAATTACATTCTGTGTGTTTTAGGGCCCCATTTGGGGATGATTGTAGGGCTGTATGTTTTCCCAGCAGAGAGGGGGTTAGTTAAATCCCTCCTCAAGCGGAATGTCCTACACATCTGAGCATCTGTGGCACTAGCCTCAGCCTATTGCTACTTTAAAATGGGCTGGGGCTAAAACAATAATGTTCTGGTGAGAAATCTCCCATGAACCCACCTGATTTCCTTTCCCCGTACAGAGTTTCCAGTTTTCACACCTGCTGTGATCTCTCCCCTGGAACAAGACAAAGAGCCGAGGGTCCCAGATCTCCACGATTCAGAGGAATGAGAGATCCTGAGAGGTGCCTGCATAGGTGAGGAATCATGAAATCAATTCAAAACCTGTTACTTCTGGCAGCAGGCAGTGCACCACCCCTACGCCGAACCCTCCCGCCGTGGTAATAGGTAACCGTTATGCTCTTCTTGGTACAGGAGAGAAGGAATCACCCCCTACAGCAGAGGAGGAGAAGCCTCGTACCCCTAAGGCTGGGAAGTCTGCTGCCACCACTGTGAATAGGAAACGTACGGTAGTGGTGGTCGGAGACTCTCTGCTGAGGGGGACGGAGGCGCCCATCTGTCACCCAGACATTTCATCTTGAGAGGTATGCTGCCTGCCGGGGGCCCGTATCCGAGACGTTACAGAGGCATTATCGAGGATTATCCAGCCCTCTGACTACTACCCCATGCTACTCATCCATGTGGGCACAAATGATACTGCGAGGTGTGACACTGAGCGGATCAAGAGTGACTACAGAGCTCTGGGAGTACGGGTGAAGGAGTTTGGAGTGCAGGTGGTATTCTCTTAGATTCTTCCTGTCACAGATAGGGGCCCGGGCAGAGACAGGTGCATCGTGGAGGTGAATGCCTGGCTGCGAAGACAGTGTCGCCAGGAAGGCTTTGGCTTCCTCGACCATGGGATGCTATTACAGGAAGGACTGCTAGGCAGAGATGGCGTTCACCTTTCGAGGAGGGGAAAGACCCTATTTGGACACAGACTGGCTAACCTAGTGAGGAGGGCTTTAAACTAGGTTCGACGGGGACAGGTGAGCAAAGTACACAGGTAAGTGGGGAACATGGAGACCTGGGAGATGGGTCGGAAATAGGAGGGAGTGTGGGCTATAATGGCAGAGAGAAAGGAGGGTCAGGGCAAAACTGGGAGGCAAGATCAAATCAGTATCTTAGATGCCTATATACAAATGCGAGGACTATGGGTAATAAGTAGGAAGAACTGGAAGTGCTAATAAATAAATACAACTATGACATTGTTGGCATCACCGAAACTTGGTGGGATAATACACATGATTGGAATGTTGGTGTGGATGGATACAGCTTGCTCAGGAAGGATAGACAGGGGAAAAAGGGAGGAGGTGTTGCCTTATATATTAAAAATGTACACACTTGGACTGAGGTGGAGATGGACATAGGAGATGGAAGTGTTGAGAGTCTCTGGGTTAGGCTAAAAGGGGTAAAAAACAAGGGTGATGTCATGCTAGGAGTCTACTACAGGCCACCTAACCAGGTGGAAGAGGTGGATGAGGCTTTTTTAAACAACTAAGAAAATTATCCAAAACCCAAGATTTGGTGGTGATGGGGGACTTCAACTATCGAGATATATGTTGGGAAAATAACACAGCGGGGCACAGACTATCCAATAAGTTCTTGGACTGCATTGCAGACAACTTTTTATTTCAAAAGGCTGAAAAAGCTACAAGGGGGGAAGCTGTTCTAGATTTGATTTTAACAAATAGGGCGGAACTCGAGAATTTGAAAGTAGAAGGCAGTTTGGGTGAAAGTGATCATGAAATCATAGAGTTCACAATTCTAAGGAAGGGTAGAAGGGAGTACAGCAAAATAGAGACAATGGATTTCAGGAAGGCGGATTTTGGTAAGCTCAGAGAGCTGATAGGTAAGGTCCCATGGGAATCAAGACTGAGGGGAAAAGCAACTGAGGAGAGTTGGCAGTTTTTCAAAGGGACACTATTAAGGGCCCAAAAGCAAGCTATTCCGCTGGGTAGGAAAGATGGGAAATGTGGCAAAAACCTCCTTGGCTTAACCACAAGATCTTGCATGATCTAAAAAATAAAAAGGAATCTTTTAAGAAATGGAAACTAGGACAGATTACAAAGGATGAATATAGGCAAACAACGCAGGAATGCAGGGGCAAGATTAGAAAGGCAAAGGCACAAAATGAGCTCAAACTAGCTACAGGAATAAAGGAAAACAAGAAGTCTTTTTATCAATACATTAGAAGCAAGAGAAAGACCAAGAACAGAGTAGGTCCAACTGCTCAGTGAGGAGGGAGAAACAGTAACAGGAAACTTGGAAATGGCAGAGATGCTTAATGACTTCTTTGTTTCGGTCTTTACCAAGAAGTCTGAGGGAATGCCTAATATAGTGAATGCTAATGGGAAGGGGGTAGGTTTAGAAGATAAAAAAAGACCAAGTTAAAAATCACTTAGAAAAGTTAGATGCCTGCAAGTCACCAGGGCCTGATGAAATGCATCCTAGAATACTCAAGGAGCTAATAGAGGAGGTATCTTTGGAAAATCATGGGAGACAGAAGAGATTCCAGAAGACTGGAAAAGTGCAAATATAGTGCCCATCTATAAAAAGGGAAATAAAAACAACCCAGGAAACTACAGACCAGTTAGTTTAACTTCTGTGCCAGGAAAGATAATGGAGCAAGTAATTCAGGGTATGTCTACACTACAAGAGTAGTTCGATTTTACTTAAATCGAATTCTCGGAATCGATATTGCAAAGTCGAATGTGTGTGTCCACACTAAGGACAGTAATTCGACTTTGTGAGTCCACACTAACGGGGAAAGCATCGAT